CTAAAATGAGCAATTTACAACGCTAACTTTTATTAGCATTGTAATTTTGGAAACAGGGAGCCATCTCCCCAGCAGTTTAGCATAAGGTAACAGAAGGTAACTGAGTAAAGATTGTGTAAGTAAACAGAATAGTCAGGAAGACCTAAACAAAGATATTTTCTCTCTAAACAACTAGACAAATTACCAAGGAGAATAGCCTTAAGGCATATTCTTTTAGTTAACTAACAACAAAGTCTTCACTTGAAGGCTTTACAACTTTCCCTTTATACATTTTTAGCAAGCAACATCAGTTCATTTCCCTAAGTTGGCATTTGTAGGGCTATAAGTCTCAAATAATAGACACATTCTTATGTCCATTAAGGAAAGGGATATGGGCAAACAGACTATGGATTACGGAATGTATTGTTGTAGCCAAAATTTAGATGGCCTTATCACACCCATTTAGTCCCATTTCCTTCAAGACCATCTTGAAGGCAGAAACAGAATCATACAGAGCTTTGTGACCTTGTGCAAATTTCTTTCCTCTCCCAGGGCAGCAGTCTCCTCATCTAAAGAATAAAATAAAATAAATGAAGGCAGTGGAATTGATGATCACTTTTCATTCTAGAGATCTTTGCTTTTCCCAAAGGGCTACACCTATAGTAAGTCCTCAATAAATACTGACGCTTGGTAAAGTTATTTAAGCTCAGTGCTGGTGAGAAAAAAAAATGTAAAACAAATTCTCATACAGTTAGGTTCGTTATTTCAAGTAATTCTCAATTTTTTACACAGCCAACATTCAGATTATTTTTCATCACATTCTCCTTCATTCCCATGTTCCTGTAACATATTTCCTAAATCAGGAAGTTGAGTCACAAGGGAGGTAAGTAGATCACAGGGAGGGATAAAACTGGACATATCTTCTCTCTCCCAGGAATAAATAGAAATCGTCCTATTTAAGCTCTAGATTCAGAATCCAAATAGCATAGCACATTATAAAACATCTGTTTACCAAGTAATAAATATATCACAGTACAATGGTTCTAATTCTATATGAAGGCACATTCTTAGGCCAAGAACACACTGGCCCTAAATGCAAATTCATGATCTAGAGCAGAGGTTGTTAATGGGTTTTTTGCATCATGGCCTCATTTGGCAATTTGGTGAAGCCCATGGACCCCTTCACCTCTTCTCAGAATAATGTTTTTAAATGCATAAAATAAAAAGGAAACCAATTCTATTGAAGTAGAGGTGTAGATTATTTCCCCCATCCAAGTTAGTGGACCCAAGGTTAAGAATCTCTGATGCAGGGAGATGGAATCAATTAGGCAGATTATTTTAAAAAAAACCACCAACCAATTTAAATCCTTTTACTAAATACAAACAGGATATATATGTTTGGTTCTCCAGGTCCCTGGATAGGGCAGCCAGGTCAATAACAAAAGCATGGGAGGAAATAAACAGTTCATAAAATCTAAACTTTTTGATATTATTTTATATAAAATCACCCCCAAAAAGCATTTAGTTCCTCCTATTCCAGGTCTCCTGTCATGGAGCCTAATCAGCCATTTAGGGCTCAAGGTCTGGGCAAAATAAATAATACCTAAGACATGTAGCCAATTTAAAAATATTTATAGAGTAATAAATACACCACAGTGCAACAGTGCAATTAATGGCTCAGAGTCAATACAAAGGCACATTCCACTAAGTCCCCTAAAGATACCCGAGGACTCACATCCCATGTTTCCCAAACAACTGCTTATCTCAAAATCTAATAAATCTTAATCTAACCACATAGTTCATGGGAACAGGGATTCCACTGGTCATTTAAGAGGCCCAAGTGAGCAGGACCACTGGGTAGTCCTTTCCAAAAGGGTTTGCAGGAAAAGAAAGAAATGAAGATGGTGACCAGCAGGCATAAGGTCAAGTGTAGGTTTTTTTCAAAGACAAGAAGAGGTAGGGGCGAACAAAGACAGAGGAGGCAAGAATCCAGAAGGCTGCTTGCTGACCTATTCCATCTTTCCAAAAGTTGCCCCAGATCTGAACTGCCTCGGAATGGCCATGGCACATCCTAGCCAGCCTCACCAGCATTTGGCCGCAAGCTTCCAGAGCTTACATTTTTTCTTCTTTCATTTGTCCTGTTAAGGGCAGCACTCCCTTCCAGCATCGTCACAACCCAGTGACGCTTAGGGCACCATTCATTGGTTACCCTCACCCTCATTCTCAGCTCTCAGCAGGACCCTCACATGGCACATGCTGGTAAAGGGCTTTCCCCACAGGGTTTGAACTGCCCACCTACATTGTTATTAGTGGATTTGGTTAGGCATGGTTCTAGCGCCCTCTGCTGGTTAATGTCGAAGCTGCAGGCCGGGTTAAGAGAGGCAGTAGGCTGGGAGGAATGAATATTGGTCTAGGAATCAGCTGGAGTCTGATCCCAGTTCTGCTACTTAGTAGCTGTGTGATCTTAGAGATGTCACTCAACCACTCTGAGCCTCAGTTTCTCTAACTCAAAAATGGGAATAATACTTAAAATTGCTTAAATCACAAGGTTGGGAAGAAAGTGCATTGTAAACCTTAAAGTGCTATGGAAATAGAGCTATTATCATTGTTATTGAGAACCAGAAGTGTCAATAGAGAAGGGACTGGCCTTGGAGTAAAGAAGATGTGGATTCAAGGCCAACCTCTGACACATACCAGCCATGAAAGGGGAATCTATACTAGGAGTTCCATATGCTGATGAAATCACAGGTCTGAACTCCTACTCCCCCCCAAATTATCATTAATACTAATAGCACTAAGCTATTAGTATTAATAGCTTAGCACAGTGCCTGGCATATAGTACGCACTTAATAAATGTTTATTGACTAATACAAATAATAGTACTCATACTCCAATGCTCTATAACAGGCTATGAATCCTCTCCTACAAGCTATGAAGCAACTTTTATTTCCCCTACATGGGACTGTAGATGCTCCAGGCATCTTTCACTACCTCTTATATGTCTAAAAAAAATCAACTTTTGTGCAAATCTTCATAAAATACATTCAACAAAAAGTATCTTTTCAGGATACCCTAGATCAGCAGGTCCCATTTGAATCTGGCCTCTGCCATCCTATTTTCAGCAGAGACTTCTCAAAAGTGCCCCCATGGTTACCTACTCCAGCTAAATGGGACACAAGCTGGCCCCGCGGGATGAACTGCCTTCCTTCCATTGCTCCAGAAGGAGGGAGGACAGCGACCTTGGAATGGTAGGTCAGTGTTAGGATTTGAAGCTGGTGAAAGGGGCCGTGTGGATTGAGGCTCTCTTGTTGCCAGACAGTCGCCTTTGGAGGGACATCAGAGAATGAATTTCCTGGTACCCAGAATTACGAGGCTCTATTTTTCCTGTGGCCACTTCAGAAGGCACAGCTGAGACTGAGTTAGCTACCACAATGGCAAAAACAGGACATTGGTCTGATACCTCCTTTTATTATTGAATCAAAATGTTACCTTTTCTCACGCTTAGAAACTCTAATTTTGTTCCATCTAATCTTTACGGTTAAAAAAATTTCCACGGTATCTACTATTTGCTGTGTGTCTTGCAGTGAATGTTTTTTGTCCTTTGCCTAAAAGCATAGACATTCTGACATTGGCCCCAAAATTTCTAGCCAGCACTAAAAATATGCATGGTCTCTCCCAATCTAGACATCTCTCTTTTTTTGGGGGGGCTAGGCAATGGGTTTAAGTGACTTGCCCAGGGTCACACAGCTAGTAAGTGTCAAGTGTCTGGTCTGAGGCCGCATTTGAACTCAGGTCCTCCTGGCTCCAGGGCCAGGGCTCTATCCACTGTGCCACCTAACTGCTGCCGTGTAGACAAGTTATCTTTGAAGAGCTGGCTGACTATGAGCACCTACACAAACACTGCTCACTGCCTGGGCTAGCTTTGGGACATAGGTGGCTATTTGAGAGTAACCCCTGCCCCTCCCCCACCACGAAGCAGCAAACTTTCCCTGAAACAATCTTCAAGCATGTGCTACATTTATGATTTGAATTCTAATTTTGTCCCAGATTTAAGGAAAATTTGCTAAAAATCACAAAATGTCTAGAGATAATCACTGAACTGCAAACCCAGCCAATAAATAGGAAATATCCAGCACTTGCTGAATCTTCCCTAGATAGCTAGCATAAAGAATAAGAATAAGAATAAGAATAATAAATTGCATTTATATAGTGCTTACTGTATGACAGGCACCGTGCTAAGCACTTTACAAATATTATCTCATTTTATCCTCACAACCCTGGGAGTTAGGTGTTATTATTATCTCCATTTTACAGTTGAGGAAACTAAGGCAAATAGGGGGTTAAGTGACCTTGGCCAAGGTTACACAGTTATTAAGTGTCTGAGGCTGGATTTGAACTTGGGTCTTCCTGACTCCAGGCCCAGCACTCTAATCCACTGTGCCCCCAAGATGCTGGTTTTAAAAAAAAAGCTTTTATTAAGCAGCTACATTATGCTGGGCATTTTATAGATCATGCATATTAAGGAACTTCAGTCCAATCATCCACACCTAGGCACAGACCTCCTGCCCAATCCCTCCTGGGATTAGTGCTCCCACCCAGGAGCTATCTCTGAACGTTCACAGCTCCTGCACAGAGAGCTTCCGGTTAGAATCATCTTCTCACAGGTTTGGGGCTGAAAGGGGTCTCATAGGCCACCTAATGCAACCCCTTCATTTTACAGACAAAGATCCGGAGGCCCACAGGGGATAACTGACTTACCTGAAGCCACATAAATAGCAACTGGGAGAGTCAGAATTCAAACCCAAACCCTCCAATGCCACATCTGGCATTCTTTATAATGTATTATAATACCTTTCTCTCATACACTGCTTCTTGCAATGTGGGACTCCAAGCCAGTAGGCCAAACCCTCATGGACCTTCTCTGCCCACAAAGGCTCCATGGAAAGGCACCCACCCCACCATCCACACCCCTCCCCCTCCCCCTCCCCCCCCCCCCTTCCTCAGCAGCAGTGGAGATGGTATCTAGTAGGTTTGTTTTATTTTCTAACTGCCTTGTCTCATACCCATCCAGCTCTGTGTTCTGCTCTGAGACCCTTCTTACCGCCACCAAGCCACACTGTCTGACTGAGAATCCTTCATAGCCTCCCTCCTGCCATTGCTATTACATGTGTGATGGGGGGCTGTTGCAAGGAGGCAAACTCCAGCCCCACGGTGCAGGGCTTGGAATGTGGACCAGGAAGTTGGAGGGCACATAACCCCTCTGTCCATTCACTTCCACGAGGCTCCATTCTGGGTTCCCCTTCTTGTCCTGCCTCTCCAGGACTGTTACCGGCTGCCCCGCCTGCAGGCTCACTTCATGGCTGCTCCTGGCTGCAAATGGGTAGGCAGCCACCACCTAAAAACACACAAAGAGTGAGAAAACGGGGAGATCAAGGAAGACATAATAATCCCAGAACAAACTGAAGCAAAGTGGTTCAAATCCACATTTTGTTTTGCTTTGTTTTGTTTTTTGCCATCAACGACTTAGGAGGCAGTGTGGTACAGTGGAAAGAGCATTGCATTTGGAGTCAGAGGACCTGGGTCTGAACCCTGGTTCTGCCACCTGTAACCTTTGAGCAAATCACCTCATTTCTCTGGGCCTCAGTTTATCCATCTGTCAAAGGAAGGGGTTAAGCCAGATGGATTCTAAGGTTCCTTCCAGCTCTCAGTGTTCCCAGGATCCTCAGACTTTCCCATTCTCTCTGTTGGCCACTGTCTAACCTCAGCATTTCTCTCACTGCTGGTCTTTTACTAATGAGGAATCTGACACTGTCTCCAGCTCTTTCTCTGACTCAGACTTCAATGGCTTTCCAAGAACTAGAAATGGTTAGAGCTGCAAGAAACCCAAAACGCACAACATACATGACTAGTGGTACTCCATTTTTCATTAAATACTTCCAAAGATGAGGACCTTACATGGCTAATTCCCTTGCTATTATTATTTATACCCTGTTCTCAAGAGGACAATGGTTCACCCATCTCAGGTTCATGCCCTAGCTGTTTTCCATTTCCCTTCCACTCTCTTCTCTGTTTAATCCCTAGTTTTGATTGGTATCTAGCCATCCTTGAATTGGGAGTTTGATTTCCCTAGGCAATAGAGGTACTATTCACCTGTCAAAAATCCTCAGGGCTGTATCAGAAAGTATGGCATCTATGAAATCCTGGCAGTAGCCAGAGATAGGAGGGTGTGTGTGTGTGTGTGTGTGTGTGTGTGTGTGTGTGTGTGTGTGTGTTTAAATCCTGCCTCTAACACCTGGTTGATTGTGTCACCCTGGTCAAGTCATTTAATTTTTCAGGGCTCTAGACCAGTGATGTCAAGCTCAAATAAAATACTAAACCACACATAAGCATCCCTGCTGGCTGAATACTGACTCAGAAAACCACATATTAACATTATCTATGTTCTATAGTATCTTTATTTATTTTGTTAAATATTTCCTAATTACATTTTAATCTGATCCAGGCCTCACTCAGAAGTATTGTGGGCCACAATGTGGGTATGCTGGAGGTCTCTGCTCTAGATAATTCTCTAAGACTATAAGCTGAGAAGAAGGTGCTGATCTGCATTGTTAGAGGGAATATCCTTACCCAAGATTTTCCTATGCTAATTAACTCACAAATCCAGATCCTATCCTACACACACACGTGTGTATATACACAGAATATGTATGTTATACACATAAATATATGAGTTGTGTATGCACTCACATGTATTCATGGAAATTTATAATGCCATTAGTGTGGGGATCTTCTGCGTGAGGAATAAATAAATAAATAAATGACTCAGTAGGCATTTGTTAAATGTTTACTGTGTGTCAGGCTCTTTGGTAGAAGCTAGGGATTCCAAAACAAAAAATAAAATAGTTCCTCCCCTCAAAGAGTTCACATTCTATCAGGGGAGATAAAATATCAGCCTATGGAAGATACACACAGAAAAGCTGATTGCCACAACCACTTGTCTTAACACAGTGCCTGGCACAGAACAGACACTTAATAAATGTTTGTTGATTATTCATTGATTGACTGACATTGTATTTTATCTATAAGTTGATAAAGTCCATTCTATGCTTGTGAAAAATTCTTATCAGGCTTTTGCTGTTCAGTAGTTTCAGTCACATCCAACTCTTCATGACCCCATTTGGGGTTTCCTTGGCAAAGATACTGGAGTGGGCTTGCCATTTCCTTCTCAGCTCATTTTACAGATGAGGAAATTGAGGCAAACAGGGTTAAGTGACTTGCCAGTCACAGCTAGTATCTGAGGCCAGATTTGAACTCAGGAAGATAAGTATTACTGACTCCAGGTCCTGAACTCTATACCCATTGCTCCACCTAGCTGCCCCCTTATCAGGCTAAGTGAATTCCCAGTACCGGACCCCATCCAAGGAAAGGGCGTCAATCTACTTAGCTGAGATTACTCAAATAACCAAACTGAATATTTGAATGTTATAGGCAAAGATAATGTGAATGCATGTGATGAGTGGAGCATCCTAGAAAACTCTAGGGACCCCATGTACAGATACTATTGATTCTAGATGTCAAGTTCTTGTCTAATGGATTTGCTGCAAATATTATTATTAGTCTGTTTCTTTTCAGTTAATTTAGAGATGTTACTTTTTGTTGTACAGAATCCTGTTATTTTTGTATACTCAAATGCATTGACTTTGTCTCCAATGATTTCTTCCATTTGCTCGATTGGTGGAAATGGACTTATTCACCATGGCTGAGCCTAGTATTCCTTTTTCTTTTAGCATTCTACATTTAAAAAAATACATAGATTGCTGATATAGAATTTATCTTCATGCATGGTATGAGTAAGGCATCCAAACCTAGTTTTTACTATCCAATTTTTGCTAACAGTTTTTATTGGATATTGATTCTATTACCTAGGTTTTTCAAAACGTTGGTCTGTCAAACATTATGTGTATGCATGCATGCATGCACACACACACACACATATATAATGTGCATATACACATACAATATATATGGGCATATGTGTCCCAAAGGTGCTTTAAAATATTTACATATATGTATGTATATATATGTATGTGTATATCTATATCTATATCTATATCTATACGGGGGGGAGAGAGAGAGAGAGAGAGAGAGAGAGAGAGAGAGAGAGAATTGTTTCTATTTCTGTATTTCTGGGTTCTCTATTCTGTTCCATTGATCTGTTTGTTTTCTTTTGTGCTAGACAGTTTTTAATAACTTTTGCTCTAGAGTATATTACAAATTTGACCAGGCAAGTCTCTAGTCATCATTTCTTTTTTATTGCTTTTCTTGACATTCTTTCCTGTCTATGTTCCCATATGAATTTTGTCAGGACTTTGGGAAATTCCAAGAAATGACCTGAGAGGCAGAGTTGCACAGTGGGTAGAAACTTGCCCTCAGAGTCAGAAAGACCTGGGTTCAAGCTCCACCTCTGATGTCGGCTAGTTGTATGACCTCGGAAAAGTCATCTAACTCAGTGTTCCTGGCACATCACATGACTATCAATTGTAGAACTGTTTCTGATCTGCTTTGGTAAGGCTGGCTTCCTCAGTGCACATGATCACATGATCAGCAGAGCACCCCAGAAAAGTTTACGTACCCAACATACAGCTCCAATAGGTTTTAAATTTCAGGCTTTTGTTTGCTACATTTGCTGTAAATATTTTTGCCCATCTTGTTTCTATACTGTCAGTCTTCTCTATACTGACAAAATCAAAGGCCTAAACCAAGCCTCTCCCCATCCCCCACAGAAATAACCTATTAATATTTTGACCGGTATTATGTTCAATCTGTAAATTAGTCTGGGAAGTATTCACATTTTTACTCTATTTGCTTAACTTGACAATGAGCCAGAGGCATCCCTCTGGGCACTTTTTCCTTGATTTCTGTCAAAGGCATTTTGAAGTTGTCTTTATATAGATTTCATATATATAAGTTAGTACCAAATATGCGATACCCTTTGTTGTTATTATAGAAGCTATTGCTCTCTCCATTAACCTTGATTCTTTTGGGGAGAGTATAAACATGAAAATTATCTTTATGAGAGTCTCATACCCCAATACTCTATGGGAGTAATTTTACCCCAATTAATTTTTTTGTTGATTTTGTAGATATATAATCATGTCATCTACAAACAGAGATGTTTCTAATGTCTTTATTGCCAGTGATTATTCCTTTAATGTCTTTATTGCTTTTGCTAACATTTCTCTCTTTTTCTTTAAAGATTTATTGATGACATGATTTCACATCACAACCATTTCTAGCTATAACCTCTCTACTCACACTCTCTAGCAGGCCTTCCATTCTAACAAAGAAAAAGTATTAAGCAGCCCTATCTGACAGTACTTAATTACTAACATTTTAAGAGTATGTCAAACAGTACTGATGTTTATGGGTAAGTCCCTTTTAATTTCCCCTCCTAAGCTCCATTCCCATACCTCAACCCCAACATATGCAATTCCAAACTCAATCTCTTTCCCCTTGGACCCACCTCCTCCTATCTCTTTCCATTCACAAAGGTGTATCATCGTGGTACCATCCTCGTTCCTCACGCTCACTCACTCCACATATCACATAAGTTGACAAATCTCGTCATTTCTATTTACTCAATTAGTCTTGCATTAGATTAAATTAGATTCTCGCTACTCACACAGTGACCCCTCTAGTTCATGCCCTCTCATCTCCCATCTGAGCCACTTCAATAGCCTCCTAATTGGGGTTCCTATCTCAAGTCTCTCCTCAATCCACTCCATCCTCCACACAGCCACCAAAATAATCTTCCTGAAGTATAGGTCTGACCACGCTATCTACCTTCTCAATAAATTCCAGTGCCTCCTTACTTTTGCTAGAATCAAATAGAAGTGCCTCTGTTTGCCATTTACAGTACTTCACAACATGGTCCTTCCCACCTTTCCAGGGACTCTACGTCACTTCCCTCCACATACTCAGAGATCCAGTCCCACTGGCTTACCCTCCGTTCTACACACAAAAGGCTCCATCTCCCATCTCTGGCTTTCCCTAGTGCCTGCAATGAGCTCTCATTTCCTTCAGGGGGCAGCTCAAGGGCCACCCTTCCACATGAAGCTTTTTCTGATTCCCCTCAGTCATTGGTGCTCTCTCTTATTAAAACTAAAACCACCTTATAGTACATGTGCACGTGTATAGGTACATATTGCCCTCTCTGTTGGAATGTAAACTGCTTGAAGGACTTTTGTCCTTGTAGCTCCAACACTTAGCAAAATGCCTGGCATACTGGAGGTAATTAAAATGATAGGTGACTGATTTGATACCCATTTTCAGTGTGAATGTCCACCTAATTTCTTCCCAAGTATATAATATTAACTTGTGGCTTCAAATACATACTTTTCAATCACATAAAGGAAAGATTCTTATACTCTTACATTTTACAATTAAAAATATTAAAATGATGTACTTTATCAAAAGCTTCTCTAATATGACCCTATAGTCTTTATTATTTGTGGGTTTCCTGCTTTTGCTTGCATTCCAGTTGTAAATTTTACTTGAATCACAGGATCATAAATTTAAAGTTGAAAAGGACCCTAAAATACTATCTAGCCCAACCTCCTCATTTTAGAGATGAAGAAAAGGAGGGCCATGGGAGTGAAATGGCTTTTCCAAGGCTCCCAGATGGTAAGCGGGGGGACAAGGATTTGAACACAGGTCAAGTAAGGAATATCAAGCCCTGGAAATGGCTAAATACCTATGTGGAGGAAAGAATGAATAGGAGAGAGACCTGAGGCCAATTAGGAGGTTATTGCAATAGTCTACATAAGAGATGATGGAGCACTGAAACAGACTGGCGGCTACAGGAGTACAGAGGAGGGGGTCATGTGTCAACTGTTCAGATGTGTAGGGTGAGCAAAGAGGAAGGTGTCAAGGAGGTCACCAAGGATGAAAACTTGTATAACTGGAAGGATGGTGGTGCCTTTTTAAAAGAGAAGTTCAAAAGAGGAATGAGTTGGGAATGAAAAATAAGGAGTTCCACTTTAGATATATTTAGTTTAAAATGTCTATGAGCTATCTAGTTCAAATGGATAATATAGGACAAGAGCTCAGGAGAGAGACTAAGGCTGAATATATAGGTCTGGGAATCATCTACAAAGAGATAATACTTGAACCCATGGAAACTGACGAGATCACCAAATGAGCCCAGAAGAGTGCCTTCTGGTATACCCACAGTTAGGGAAAGGGGCAGAGAAAATGAACCTGCAAAGGATGCTGAGAAGCAGCCATAGGAATGGTAAAAGAACCAGAAAAGAGTGGTATCATGAAAACCCAGAGAGGAGAGGGTATTCACACGAATGGAATGGAATATCGTGCCACAACAAAGAATAACTATGGCAAATGCATTTTTTCAAGTGGGAAACCCCATATAAACTGATACAGAAAGAAATAAGGAAAATCAAGAGAATGACATACATAATGACCACCATAATGAAGAAGAACACAACACTGTGAAAGGCATGAAAACTCTGATTAATGCAATAAACAATTTTGACTTCAAAGGACTGATTGTGAAATACCCATCTTTTAGCAGAGGGGTCAGGGCTTTAGGTACGTGTTGTGGGCCAGGATCTTGGTGCAGCTGGGGAGGTGTGAGTTACTCACCCCTCGCCACTGTATTCTGTGTTGTGAGCTAAGAAGCTATGGAGTAAATCTAAGGCAATTTGAGTTAACTTTGCCTCCAGGTATATTGATCTGAGACGCAGTGGGGTGAACTTTGGGCAAGAAGAATAGAAAAGAGATTTTTAGGACTTTGGCAGAGAGTTTCTGAGATGCTAACGAGCTTCCTTGCCAAATGCTTTTACTGCAGGGAAATACCGTCCAATTGCCTTGAAGACAGCTTGCCCCTGGGCATATTTGAATGTGTTTTTATTAAAAGGCATGTTTATTTGAATCCTCAAGCTCTGAGGGAGCCATCTCCCTAGACAAAGATAGTAACCAGCATAGGATGGAATGAGGACTATGTTGTCAGACACAACCAATGTGTTTCTTACCTACATTCTTTTGTTATAAGAGAAGGGTCTAGGAGCCAATGCAGCTAACATTAGAAGGAAGGTAGAAAACTGGGAAAGAATTTTTACAACCAGTCTCTCTGAGAAAGGCCTCATTTCTAAAATATATAGAGAATGAAGGCAAATTTATAAGAACACAAGCCATTCCCCAATTGATACATGGTCAAAGGATATGAACAGACAGTTCTCAGATGAAGAAATTAAAGCCATCTATAGTCACTTGAAAAAATGCTCTAAATCATATTGATTAGAGAAATGCAAATCAAAACAACTCTGACGTACCACATCACACCTATCAGATTGGCCAACATGACAAAACAGGAAAATGATAAATGTTGGAGAAGATGTGGGAAAATTGGAACACTAATGCATTGTTGGTGGAGTTGTGAAATGATCCAGCCATTTTGAAGAACAATTTGGAACTATGCCCAAAGGGCTACAAAAATGTGCATTCCCTTTGATCTAGCAATAGCACTTCTAGGGCTGTATCCCAAAGAGATCAAACAAATAGGAAAAGGACCCACATGTACAAAAATATTCATAGCAGCTCTTTTTGTGGTGGCAAAGAATTGGAAATTGAGAGGATGCTCATCCATTGGGGAATGGCTGAGCAAGTTGTGGTATATGAATGTAATGGAATACTATTGTGCTATAAGAAATGATGAACAGGCTGACTTCAGAAAAACCTGGAAAGACTTATATGGTCTGATGCTGAGTGAAGTGAGCAGAACCGAGAGGACTTCGTACACAATAACAGCCACGTTATGCAATGACTAATATTGTTAAGCTGAACCCTTCTCAGCACTACAAGGATCTAAGACATCTCCAGAGGCCTCGGGATGGAAAATGCTGTCCACATCCAAAGAAAGAACTATGGAAGTCAAATCGCTATCACTTATTTTTACCTTCTGTTGAGGTTTGTTTCATCTTTCTGATGGTTCCTCCTATTGGTTTTAATTTTTACTTACAACTTCACTAATGTGAAAATATGTTTAATGGGAATGTAAATGTAAAGCCTATATCAGATTGTGCGCCATCTTGGGGAGGGTGTGGGGGAGGAAGGGGGAGAAAAATTTTCAACTCAAAAGCATACGGAAGTGATTGTTGATAAGTCAAAATAAATTAATGAAATTTTTTTGAAAAAAGAGAAGGGTCTAGGGAGGCAGGGGTATGAGTCACTGAGAAGGGAAATTGATATAAAACAGCATCATTAAAACTTTTTTGAAGCACTTGGAGCTCTCTAGCAAAGGAGAAAACAGAAACATTTGTGTACAAGGAGTGATGTAAATTCAAGTTGTCCTTTCTTTCAAACCTACCTGAAAAACAGGTGTGACAGTACGGGCCGATGCCCTGGGAGCCTCTGCTGGAGGGAACCTGAAACTGTCGCCTGACCCCGCCTGCATGCTGGGCTCCTCAGGTGGGACCACCTGATACGGCTCTAGTTTTCCAGCTGGCACATACCCTCGATAGCCTGCAAGGCACATGGAAATTTTTCTGAGATGGGTAGTTCGTTCTCTGGTGGGGATAAACAAGCTCCCAATTTCCTTCATTCAACAACAATTTATTAAGAGGCTCAAGCATTGTGCTAGGTCCTGGTGGGGGCGTACAAAGTTTAGATAAAACAACGTATCTGCCTTCATGCAGCTTACGTTATAGGAAAGGGGTCAGACATAAATGCAGGTATGTATAACAAAGTTCATGAGAAGAATAAAATGCTATTTGTGGTCCAAGGGGAAAGATTATTACTGGCTGGGAAATCAAGCAGGGTGGTTAGGGATCATATAAGTGAATGAAGCTGAAGGATTGGGAATTCCCCTATATGACACCTAACACCATGCCCTGCGCTTACAGATCAGCTCTGGCCCACAGCCCTGAGTGCCTACCTCTTGTATTTCCCCTCCTTTGGGTCCTGCTACCTTGAAGAAGAGGGGTAGACAATGAAATAAGCTCATTTCCCTAGGTTTTGTTTTTGTTTTTCTGGAGGCAATCAGTTAAGTGACTTGCCCAGGGTCATACAACTATTAAGTGTCAAGTGTCTGAGGCCGCATTTGAACTCAGGTCCTCCTGACTCCAGGGCCAATGCTCTATCCACTGTGCCACCTAGCTGCCCCGGGGCTACAGTTTTAATTGTGAAAATCCTCAGAGCCAGCAAAGCTGTTCCCAAAATGGAAAACTATACCAAAAGTGTCAGCCCCTCCCTATCCATTGAGAAGGCAATATGATACCCATCATCTATGTGAAATCATACAAAACATATTTTATATTAGTCATGTTGCAAAAAAGAAAGAAAAATAAAGTACAAAAAGTAAAAAAAATAAAATAAACCATAAGTATATGATTAGAGTGGTATTCCACTATAGCAAAATCCTGTGAGTGTGAACATAAGACAAAGCCTGTCATTTAACATATAGGAGCTTTGCCCAAGCAATCTAAATATCCTTCAGCCAAGAGGAAGTGCTGGCACCCACATCTGACAGTGACTGCAATTGCCACCCAAAACGGGAGTCTTGTACCAACTTTTGTAATACAAAGGCCTGAAACGGAGGCCTCCAGCACATACAGGATAGGACTCACTCAGCATTGACCAATGAGCCCAGGAATCTAAGAGTTGGAATAGACCCCAGAGGTCAGTTACATGGTCCAACCCCTACTTGAGCAGAAATCTCCTCTCGAGCACTCCTGATGAGTGTTCATCTAGAGACTTCTTGAGTATTAATCAAGTAGGAGGGAGCTCACTGCTTCACAGGACAGCACATTCCATTGCTGGAAAGCTCTGATTGTTTGGGAATTAATTCTTCATTTTCAACTGAAGTCCACATCCTTCAAGTGCTTATCTGTTGCTCCTAGTTTTGTCTGCTGGGACTTGGCAGAACAAATTGAATAAGTTAATAACAATAAGCTTGGCCAAGTAGATTGTGCCAGACTTGGAGTCATGAAGAACTGGATTCAGAGATCATCTCTGAGGTTTACTTGTCATGTAACCTGGGGAAATTCCTTAACTTCCATTTCCTCATTTATAAAATAGAGATAATTGTTGTGATGATCAAAATGAGATAATGTATGTAAAGGGCTTTAGGAACCTTAAAGTGACATAAATTGAGGTGTTAATACTTCTATTTCTATTTCTCTTCTCCATGACAGCCCCTCAGATATCTCAACACTGATCATGTACTTTCCTAAGTCTCCCCTTCTCCAGGAAAAACAACAACAACAAAACATGCCATTTCTTCTATTAGTCCTTATGTGACATGATTTTTCCCCATCAGCCTTTGTGGAGTGACTCGTGTGCTTTCCCCAGAGAGAGGAGAGACTTTCTAGGTCCCCTGTGCACATACCTCCAGTATCCACCAGCCAACGACTAGTATTGCCTTTGGTATCCCTGTCCTGAAGGAGAGCCACAATCTGTCCTCTCTGAAGGGTCAGAGCCAGATTTCCACTCCCACTGATGTTGCTTGTCACCTGGTAGAGCTTGCTAGGGCCATACTTGCTCAGAAGGGCCTGTACCTGTCTTTCTGCAGCAGGTTGGAGTGGCTAGGCAAAGGAGAAGTTGTGATGAGTCATAGAATCACCCACCATCCCAGCGCGAAGGGACACCCCCAGAAGACACCAAATTCAACCTGTTCCTGAGCATTTCTTTTCTCCAGCCTGAGAAGAGGCCATCCAGTCTCTACTTGAGAGGGAATTCACTACTTCCAAAAGGCATCTCATCATGAGGAAGGTTTTCTTTATACCGAACTAAACACGCCTCCTAATTCTGGCCGGCTTTGTGTGAAGAGCCCTGTGTTGAGAGGTGGGCTTTCATTCTAGTCTATCCTTCATTCACCGGGTGACCTTCAGGACAAGTGTCTTCTCCTTTCTGAGCCTTAGAAGCCACATTTATAAAATGAGGAGCCCAACTTAGATGCCAGAATGTTGGAGTTAAAAAGAAGTAGCTTAATGGTCTGTTAGTCTAAACTTCATTTCCAAGTTCCCTTCTAGTCCACAGTACTAAGGTTTTGTTTTTGTTTTTGTTTTTTTGGAGGCAATCAGGGTTAAGTGACTTGCCCAGGGTCACACAGCTAGTAAGTGTCAAGTGTCTGAGGTTGGACTTGAACTCAGGTCCTCTTGACTCCAGGGCCAAAGCTCTATCCACTAATGATTAGGGTGGTATTCCACTATAACAAAATCCTGCTTTTACAACCAATAAATATTTATTTGCTTCTCCTTCATGCATAGCCCTGTCTGAGCTAGGAATACAGGGGGTGGGGAGAGGGTGGGCCCGAGGGGAACACTTACTTGTGTTATTGGAACTGGCAACACCTTCTCAAAGCTCTGGCGGAAGGAGTGAAGCTGGGCACTGGTCTTGCCCAATGTGTCTTCCACCAGCTTCCTGAAGTCAGATTCAGAAACATGGCTGTGGGGCAACTGGAGAAAAGATACTGAAGTCAGAGATGAACCAGAAGAGAATGATTAGAAGACAGAAAAGCATGAAAAGCTCCTTGCCCCATGCAATGTATGCAAAACGATTGTTTCTTTGACAAAATCATTTTCTGTATTCTAAGCAGGTAACCTACTGACCAGGTATTATTGTTTTTCAACTCTTCATGACCTCATGTGGGGTTTTCTTGGCAAAGATACTGGAGTGGCTTGCCATTTCCCTCTTCAGTAGATTAAGGCAAACAGAGGTGAAGTGACTTGTCCAGGGTCATATTCCTCATAAGTGTCTGAGCCTGGATTTGAACTCAGGTCTTCCTGACTCCAGGCCCAGTGATCTATTTACTGAGCCACCTAATGCATCCTACCGGCCAGGTAGGACTCAGTGAATCTCACCTAGTGATTCAACTCTTATACTTACTCTAGCTGTTTGACTCTAGGCCAGTCACTTAACTTTGTTTGCCTCAGTTTCCTCATCTGTAAAATGACCTGGACAAGGAAATGGCAAACTACTCCAGTATCTTTGCCAAGAAAACCCCAAATGGGGTCATGAAGAGTCAGACACGACTGAAAACTGAACAATAACAACAACATGATAGTGAATGGTTATAAATTCTGATTCCAAAAAAAGTCAATGTCCCTAATGGGAAAGATAAGTCTGAGGTAATGGAGGGAATTTTAACTTTAACAGACACCAATGAGATTGTCATCTATTGGTCAAATATAGAGGAAAGACAAGGTTGTAAAATGTTTTTTATATATGATATTGTTCCATACTGTACACATTTGTCCTGTGGCTTGGAAATAATGTTCCACAAACCAGACACCATTCAGAAATCCCAACCCACTAGGAAAAGGGATTGAATGTGAAGTCCCTTTACCTCTATTTCTTAGTTTGGGGAAGCTGGCCCTTTTCCCCACAAGAATCCAATACCTTTTTCCACCCTGGCATGGCCTGTATAAAAAACTAGGCAACTTCAAAATCCCACCTAGAGAACCACAGCCTTAAAGAGAACTCAAAAGTTTTCTAACACAGTGCATCGTCGGGCAGAGAATACATGCTCATCATACAGCCAAGGGGTTAGCCATTTATTTATATTGAAACTGTTGAAGCAATGACCTATGTTCACTTAAGTCCTCACATGGAGATGACCTTGGATTCTTGAAGGACATACTGTGGAGTATGAACTCCAGCAGGTCCTACCAGCCGTCTTTCTCTCACCTGAGCACCAATTGAGCTAAGTGCAGGGCACTTGGCCACCAGAGGGCAGAGTTCTCTAGCCATAGCAACTCACTCAACCATGTACTAAATCAGAGAAGGATTATGGGAGGAGGTACAGATGCCAATGAAGTGACGGCTCTTTTGAAGTATTCAAGTACCCATGTGTACGAGACGGGGATGCTAATTCATTAGAATGAGATGTGGCAAATCTATGATGCTATTAGGTCAGACTTTCTGATCCATTCAGTCCAGGATTTTGCCTCCAATAGTAGCATCAAAGGATATGTGTGCTGTGAAAGATTATGGCTGGCCTCCATGACATCACCCTCAAAGATCAGAGCTGTCCTCACCCTCAAACATTCTAGCTTCCCTCCAAGAATCTATGCCAGATTTGTCATCTATAAATTTATCTAGTATTTATATTTTGGCATAAGCCTAATGAATTATATTCTATTACAATATTATAAATATCTTAAAGTTTTACAAGTTAACAACTGGTTGAGTGACTGAATACTTCCTCTTACACATCATAAACTTGTCTTAGAGACACATGCAGCATGATGGACAGGGGGCCAGAATCGGTCCAGAAGACTTGGGTTCAATCCTGCTTCTGATACATACTAGCTGGTCACTTAACCTCTCAATGCCTTGCCCCACCCCCCACCTCAGGCACCTCTCTAAGGCTAGGAGTTAACAGATGAGTTACTGACCAGCAGTGTGGAGGAAATTTCCACACTGAAAGTTCCCTCAGGCTGATGAGATCACAGGTCTGGATGAACAAAAGTCCTTAGTTTATGAACTTCAAAAGATATTCCTTACTTGTAGTATTTTTCCCTTGAAGCAGCCTCAAGCACAGAACCTTCTTTGTGTCAAAGTTACAGAGAACTTTTGGGGAGGATTTTGTATCCAGCAGTCAGGAGAATGATTAGGATCAAGAGGGAGTGGAGGGCGGTGGGGTGAAGTATCAGGTAGACTGCAGCTGGGCCTTTGTAGGCAGCAAGCCGTTAAAAAATCAAAAGTACGAACTGTCCCTCTGCATTGTTTCCTTAAACCAGTTCCAAGTGGGAATTCCCCACCCCAGGCTTGGCTTCCACCTCTGATATTTCCCTTTCCTGCCTAGCTCTCTGAAGCAGCTACCTCTAAAATTTCTGACTAATCTCTATTCTGTTCAGAGCTTGTTTTCCGTGGATGCCTGGAACACTGTGTTTGGCTACCTTCAATGCCCCACCCCGTTTTTCTTGCTTGTCACTGTTAATTCCCTACCCTGTTAATCACTCACTATTCCCTAGGACGGAGGTGGCCTCTTCCTCATCCCTTTAAGGGTATGGAGACAACAGTTTCAGATTTTCATCCTGTTTTTAGTCTCATCAGCTGGGATTATTCCCAGAAAGCAGGGACAAAAGAAGAAAGATTAGGTCATGGCCACCTCTATCCTCCATCTATCTGGAAGTCAGTTGGGGAGTATTCCAAAGAATCACAAAAAGGTTGGTAGATGGGTGGCTCTTTTCAGTTTTTGCTCAGAACCCAAAGGACCTGGAGGCCTTCCTCACCTGGGCTAGCTCTCCTTCCGCCCTCTGCAACACTTGCTGGGCTAGATCCCTCTGCAGGGCCATAAGGGTGTGCAAGATCTGGCCCAGCCACTGTGTGGCCACCTGGTTAAACCGAGGAAGCTCAGACACCAGCAGAGAGTTCAGGGCCTGGTACGTGTGCCTAGTGGCTTCCTCTTCATAGGTCATGCTGCCCATTTCAGCCAGCTTCTCTTCTATCCGCTCAAAGTCCAGCAGTTTGTCCAGACGCTTCTTGATCAGATTCTGAGGCCCCAGCAGGGCTTTGGACAGGTGGCCCAGTGGGTGGTACACTAGCCTTTCCAGCCGCTGCTTCTGTGGGAGAGAAGCATCGTTCAAGAGATCGTGCCACACCCTGGAGTGCACAATCCAGGCAGGAGTTTGGGAACTGATAGTCCCAAGGCTTTAAGGACTATCCTACATGGAAACAAATAAAAGAAGGCATAGCACCCAACCTATTGATCTGAGGCAGAACCAAATCTGACTGAGGCTACAAAAATGAGAATCTGTTTTTAAAGCTCTTCTCCAGCCTGAAAAAGATGATCAGTAAACTCTGTGTGTCTAAACCCCTTGTTCTATACCCTAGGCTTTCCAGCTCTATCTATCCACAGGTAGGTACAATGAATGTCTGATGATCATCCTTAGAATAATTACAACAACACCACCGATTAATAATAATAATAATAATATCATCACATTTTCATAGTGCTTTTCAAGCACTAACATAACTATTAGATTGGGAAATTTAGGTGAGTTCTTCCCTGGAACCACTCAGGTCCACTCCACCTTGCCTCCCATGCCTGGGTACCTCCCCTACCCCCAACTTCTCAGCTCCCTTTTGTGTGCTATCTTCTCCTTTTAGAATGTAAGCTCCCTGAAGGTAGGAATTATCTTTATTTTTCCATATATATATATATATATATATATATATATATATATATCTCACTACGAGTGGAAAGAGCTCTGCTCTAGGCTCAAAAGAAAAGAAGGAAGACTAAGGAGGCCAAGGAAAGATTAAGGAAGCCATACTCCTGCCTAGAATGCTCTAGAAATCTCTCTCCACTCTGGAAGCTCATGCCAGTCCTGGACTTCACACACTAGAAGTGCCCTTATTCTGCAGGCTCCATCATCTACTCGAGGAAGAAACAAGGGAACTTACAAACTCCAGGAAGACCAGAAGGTGTAAGCTTCTCGTAAGGCAGCAATACTGCTGCACAGCTCCGCCTTCCATCTCCAGATCACATTCATGTGGTTTGATCCTGAGGAAAGTCTGGGCCAGAGTAAGGGACATTATACAAGGCAATGAGAATCCACAGACATGAGCGGCAAAAGGACCGTGGGCATCCTCCCCTCTGGAATGTGTCAACATTGGGGACGAGGATTAAAGGGAAAACAACAAAACTGAATGGTGAGAAAGAGAGACATATGATTCTGGTCAGGACTCCAACAGGATACCTCAAGAACAGCTATTAATCAGAGTAATTTCCCTGAGTCTGTGCCAATTTAAATCTGCTCACCAAATGAGACAGGTCGAGAGGTTCTAACATGGCCTCAGAAGTTGGGCCCAGGGGGCAGCTAGGTGGCTCAGTGGAGAGACCACCGGTCCTAGATTCAGGAGGACCTGAGTTCAAACTTGGCCTCAGACACCTAACACTTACTAGCTGTGTGACCCTGGGCAAGTCATTTAACCCCACTGCCTAGCCAAAAGAAAAAAAAAGAGTTGAGCCCAGGAGGCCCATGGTATTCTTTGTTTAAAGGGCACTAGGTAGCTTAAGCACTTGGTGGTTGATGGTCATTCTTAAGGCTGGCACTTTGCCAAGAGCTGGACAAGAGGCCAAGAGTGGGAAAGGGGGCCTGAGTCCAACTGGTCCAACCTGTACCTGAGCAGGGTTCATCAGGGTACATTCTCGAGTCCGAGTGTTGGAATGGACCTATGAGTCAGTCTATACCTGAAGTGAGGCCAAGTGACTCAAACTCTAGAAATTAACTAGTTACTCTAAACATCTCATTTATCTTTGGCTTCAATTCCCTGTTAATCATTTTCATTCTGCTCTATCCAGGTCAAAGAGATCTTTCTTCTCAGCAAAGAAAACAAACAGAACAAGAATTATGCTGTTCTGTCTCTCTCTGGCATCATTATTCTATCAACCTCCTCCAGCTTGGATGCTTCTCTTATTCCCAACATAGCTCTAAAGACAGCAACTGGATGCCTTATTGCTCTTGGCATGCCTCACCACCTTGAGAGCCCCAACACTGTTTTACCGAACCACGCAGCTCTTTAGTATTCACCTTCTCTCACCCGACCTTCCTTCGAGCTCTCTGGATTATGATGATGTGTGGGGCCCCTAGGGTCTTGTCTGGCATATAGAACAGTTACCTCCAAATTCTCCAGGTATGAGGCCACGTTGCTCTTCAGTTCATTCACACACAACGCCACCCAGTGGAACTTCTCTTCCAAGTCATCAAACTCCCTGTCTTCAGTCTAAAATCCAAGTGATGAAAGTCATATTTCAAAAATAATAATAATAATTGATGGCTGTACAATGCTTTAAGATTTTCAAAGCAACTTACATACATTACTTCATCTGAGCTTTACAGCAACCCAGTGAGGTAGGAACTATAGGTATTAATATGCCCATTTCATAGATAAGGAAATAACTTCAGAAGGAGGTTAAGAAATTCCCCTATAGTCATACAGCTAATAAGTACTAGAGACAGGATTGGAGTCCAGGTTTTCGTGACTCCAGTTCCAGAACTCTTATTCATTATGTCATGTTAATTAAGCAACTACTATGTGCAGAATGGGGCAGCTAGATGGCTCAGTGGATAAAGCTCTGGACCTGGAGTCAGGAATTCAAATTTGGCCTCAAACATTTAGTAGGTGTGTGACCCTGGGCAAGTCACTTAACCTCTGTTTACCTAAGAGACAGCTAGGTTGTTCACTGGATACAGCATTGGTCCTAGAGTCAGGAGGACCCGAGTTCAAATCTGGCCTCAGACGCATAACACTTACTAGCTGTGTGACCCTGGGAAAGTCACTTAACCCCATTGCCTAGCCAAAAAAAAAAAAAAAGAAGTCAGTAACTTCAGGGGTCAGAGAAAACTTTACAGAGGGGTGGGGATCCAAGTCGGACCTTAAAGGACAGACAGCTAGATGACAGTATAAGCAAAGACATAGAGTAATGAGAACACGTGACATGGGGGGGGTGAGAGCCCACCTTGGCTAGAGTTTATTGTATGTGCAAAGGTTAGCAGACAGCATGAGAAAAGGGTAAAAAAGAGTCTCTGACTGCAGAGGATCTTGAATGTCAGGCTGTCTGAACTTTACTCGGTGGGCACCAAACGCCATTCACTGAAAACTTTAAGTCGAGAAGCCAGAGAGGAAACCAATTTTACAGACCAAATTTGGGACTTTCAGTCATCTAATCAGATTGGGAGCTCATGTAAACAGGTAAGCCATTCTACCATTGCTCAGAAATGTCCACAAGGAAGCATTAGGACACAGGCTCCAAAAGAATGTACAAGGAATTAACAACCTTCACTCCCACGGAGAATGAAGTCACAGAATGGCCTTTAAAATAGCAAACCTTCTCAACTATTTCCTCGCCTTTCTTATGAATCAGCTGGAATCAGCATAAAATGTTGGAGAATAACAGGTGTTTTCTGACCCAAACTCAATGACTATATAGCAAGTATTCCTCTAGGACCATTTCATCTCTGGGGAAGCGGGGGAGCCTTGGGAGTCTCTACAGAAGTGAAAGGGTACTGCATCAAGCCTGTCTCACCCTAGGGGAGTCTAGAATTTGAGAGCTCTGAGGGACAGGAGAGCCCCAAAGTGAGAAGCTAAAGCAGCTGAGGCCCAGTAGGGTCTTGTTGATGGCTTAAGTCCTTTGGGGAACAGATTCTCAGGTGCTGATGTGAGTAGACTCAGTACGGCCTGAGAGAAAACCCAGCGATCAAGTCCTAAGAAAGGAGAAAGAATCCTTTCTGGTTCAACTCATCAAAGGCAAGAACCAAAGTCTAAAGTCCACAGACTGAAGTCAGGGTCAGGGCCTTAGTAGCAGGCTCGTGTGGGCTGAAGCGAAGGGTCTTTGGTGCCAACCAGAGTGGGTAATGGCACATTTTGAAGGCTCGGGACTATTTTTGCTGACACCATCTCTTTGGTTCTCTGAAAGGTTTCCACTGGGCCATATCCTGACAGTACCTGTCTCTTGAGGCTTGGTGGAAAAATTTAAATGTAAAAGCCTTTATTAAGGTTGGTGTCCACTAAAGTATAACTAGATTGCTCTTTAACTTCAGAGCCACATGTGGATTTATATGGAACTATGGCCTTTCCACACTTTCTTCAGCTTGATCCTTGGTCCCAGTAATATATCAATACTCAAAGTCACCCTCAATGTCCCCACCATACCAACATTTTCCTTTTCTCCTCTCAATGAAATGTAAACTCCTAGTCAGGGATAATTTAATTTTTGATTTTGTATCTCCAGTACTCGGCACTGGGTCTTACACATAGTATGCAATTAACACATGCATACTGAATTGATTATGCTAGCCACAGCTTTCCTCATCCTGGAGTAGTTAACATTTTTCACATTTGTAGGGTGACAAAAAGATCAGAACAATTGAAAGCTACATTCTCTAGTTCGCAAGAGGCACCACTGGGCTTCTGATGGCGAGAGGCAATGTGATATAACGGAAGGAACACCGATCTTGGAAGTAGGAAACCTGAGTTCAATGGGCTCACATTATCTAGATGAACCTCGGGTTCCTCACCTATAAAATAGAGAGAATAAATACTTGTACCACCTAATTCACAGGACTGTTATGAGCAAACTATTTTGTCAATATGAACATGCTATAGAAAAGTGAATTATAATCACATGTAGGACAAGTGACATTCCCAGGATGCTCATAACCTCTGAATCTTCTTCCTGCAGAGCCATAACTGGGGTGTTGTAGTCTGGGCTTTGCCACAGGTGCCAATATCTAAGCGGTAGTGCTTCTCAGGAGAGAACGTTTCTACCCTGTTGGTCCAAAGAAGGTCCTCATGCTAAGACTCACACCCATGGAAGTGTGTAGGGGAAGACAGGCCCCTAGGTAAAGACAAGCGAAAGGGTCAATAGGACAGAGGACTGGGGAATGAAGAGGAGGGGAAGTTACTGCTTCATTACTGACTAAACTATCTTCTGTACCCATCATTCCCATCCCAATTTATCCCCATGCTCTCCCTCTTTTGCCCTACATAAAAAGAATTCTTAGTTACACATTCAGGCTCTTCCCACTACTGCTTATTGGGCCCAGGACAGCAACATACCAGGAGATATAAGTAACAAAGGACTCTCACCCTAGTCACAATCCCAGCTTCTTGCTTGAACAACTGACTTAGACGCAGAGTCTTCTTGGAGATAGAGTGTGTATTAATCCGGGCCAACCTCTCCCTGACTGTCAGATGCTCCAACTTGCTGTATTTAGTGGCTGTGGGGGAGTAAGGAACAGAGCAGGGGGGAAAGGGACACATGAGAGAACACAATTTTCCCTGAGAAGTTGGTCTAGGGCCAGTTTGGGGTCACTGCTTTGTAACAGAACTCAGTAGTCAGGGGAACGAGTAAGGAGAAGCCTAGGGACCAAAGAGACAAGAAAAGCAGACACCTGAGGTCCCAAGCCCATAGAAGGGTGATGGGGGCTTCCAGTGCTGAGAAGACACATGTTGGGGTAGACAGAGTACACTGTTTTTGGACAGTCTGGGGGTCATAAGACCTGGGGGTTTGAGTCCCTACTTCTACTGCCCATGTGGCTTTCAGCAAGTCAACCAACCATTCAGTCTTTGCTTCTTTATCTATAAAATAAGGATAATAATACTCTTACTACCTACTTCACCAGATTGTCATAAGGAAAGTGCTTTGTAAACCCTAAAGCACTGTAATTATTATTATTGTTAATACTGGGTTTCTTTTACTTGGGAAACTTTCTGTCTTTAGTGGTTCACATTACCTCCTTAAAATTCAGTTTCTTTGGAACTTGGAATGGCATCAACTTGTAGTTTTCAAATGCCAGGATGCAGATAATCTAGAAGTCTAGGGGTCTTTCCCAACTGGCCAATATCCTTACCAATTTCCTTACACCTCTTGTACTCATTGATGTTGGAATTGACCTCTTGCATGGCTCTGGTGGCCCTCTGCAAGGCCTCATAGGCGTGGTCATCAGGTGGCGTGTTCTCCAGGATCTTCTGCAGCAGGAGAGGGTATCTGGTCACTCGCTGCACAGGCATCACCAGCAAGAAAGTGAGACCTGAGGCTCCAGCCTGTGGTCTAGGGGAAAAGTGGGGGAACAAATTAGTCAGGTAGACTTGCGGAATGGAAAGAGATTTGGGACTAGGAATCAGAGACTGTTTTAACCCCAGCTCTGCTACTAACTCACTGAGTAATCTTGGGAAAGATATTAATCCTCTCTGGGCCTCATGTTTTTTCACTTGTAAAATGAGGAAATTGAACTGTATAAGGGATTCTTTGAACATTTTTTGGGTCATGGACCCATTTGGCAGACTGGTAAAGCCTAAGGATGTTTTTAAATGCATGAGATAAAACATATAGGATTACAAAGGAAACCATGTATTTTGAAATCACTACCAAAATATTCAAAGAGCAAGCTCACAAACCCCAGGTTAAGAACCCCTGAACTGGATAATTACTAAGGGCCCTTTCAGCCCTAACATTCAGTAGGGATTTGGTAGAAGTAAACTGGTGGATCACAACTTAGCAAACCCCAAACTTGGGTTACCTTCCCCCTGGGGGGCATGTGCTGATAAAATGTTTAACAACAGGCTTTTCAAAAAAAAATGTACACACGACACACTTTCAAGTCTACTCTACATTATTAAATTTTTATTAAAATGTTCTCCATATTAAATCAATAGTCAACAAAACAATAAATCCAGCCTCGACTTGTAGTGTTTGCCTATTTCAAAGGTGCGAATGTTCACATTTTAAAAATCAGCTCTTGAGAGCAGGTTCAAGCTGGCTTCAGCATATCCCTGGTTACCCCACTTCTGTACTCCTACTCCTGTGTAAGACCAATGAAGAAAGTCATACAATCAAATTGAGTAGGCTCTTAATAAAAGCAATACTTTTATTCTTCCTTATTTGATTCTTCATCACATTTCCCACACTGGCTGTTCTAAAATTTTCCTTCTTCCTCAAGTCTTCTACCACCCTCCCTGCTCTCTGTTAGCAGATGATTTTACCTCCCACTTCACTGAGAAAATAAGGGCCATCTGTTGTGTACTTCCTCTCTCCTTCCTTATCCTGAACCTCAAAATCCCACTGAATCACCCTCATTCTCTCTTTTGATTTAGTCACTGATAAACAGGTGTTCCTTCTCCTTGCCAAGACCAGTCCCTCTTCCTGTGTCCTCCCATTCATAGCCACATTCCTGGGGGAAAATGTCTATAGTCATTTCTTCTACTTCCTCTCTTCCTCCTACTTGGCAATCTAGCTTCCTACCCAATTATTCTTATCTTTTGATCAAAACTACTCCCTTCCAGGTTACCAACAATCTCTCCAAAGCTAGCAACAATCTGTTAATTGCTCCATCTAATGGCCTTTTCTCACTCCCTGTTCCTCTTGACCACTCCCTCCTCCTGAATACTCTCTCCTTAATCAATTTTTATGACACTTCTCTCTTCACCCTCAGCAATCTTTTACTGTTCCTTCAAAGTTTCCTTTGCCAGATTAATATCCATGTCTCACTCCCAATCATGAGTGCTGTGACATTTTAAAAGTTTGAAAGACATAGTTTCTGGGTGATGAGTCATTTTATTAATAATGCTAGCATTTTATTAATAAAAGAGGTCAACGGCACTCTCAAATGCCAAAAACCCCTTATGGAATTCACTCAATGCTTATATACCCTTGGAAGGGTGGGTGTTCCTGAGGGTAGCAATCAACTCTGACTGGTTATCTATTAATGAGAAAACGAATATTATAATGAGATGTGGGAACATTCTAATAAGGGTCTCGGGGGTACATGACTTGGATCACCCAAGTCTTAGTCAAAGAGATTTATCAGTTTCCATATCACCTGACAAAAGTGAGAATCCGTATTTTCCCAGATCTGTCTTAGTAAACACAAGGATAGGAATAATCCATCCATTGGCCTAAACTTCGAATTTCTTTTACCGTCTTTGATTAGATCTTAGCCTGGGTAAGTCTTTGCCCAATATTTCCCACACTGGTTGATTTTTAGATGAGGAAGTAAAAAAAAAGGGGGAGGTTAAAAACTTTGGTCCTAATTCAATAATTAGTTATTAAATACAAGAGAGAAATAATATTTCTTTCAGTGTTCTACAAAGCTGTGTCCAGAGTCTCCATTTTCCCTTTCAGTAGCTAAATCAGCTTTTAATTACCATCTCAGTGCAAATGACTACCAAATTTACTTATCTAGCGTTAGGGTCCCGAGACTATGGGAGTATGAATAGTAAACTTGGCGATATATATGTAATATGTATATATCTTCTTAATCAAGAGAACCACCAATAAAGCCGATAAAGTCATGTATACTTTTGGGGGGGTTCATGCAATTTTGGAGCACATGGCTAAATAGATAAAATGTTTGATTCCGAATCTGAAATCATAGATTTGAATACTGTTTGGGTCCCTTTAACAGAAAGTTCAAAAGGCAGCTAGGTAGTCCAGTGGATCTCTAGAGCACTGGGCCTAGAATCAGGAAAACATGAGTTCAAATCTGACCTCAGTCACTTACTAGTTGTATGACTCTAGGGAAGTCACTTAGTCTATGTCTGCCTTAGTTTCCTCAATAGGAAAATGGGGATAACAATAGCACTTACCTCCTTTAGTTGTTGTAAGGATCAAACACGATAATATTTGTAAGGTGCTTGATAGTGCCTGGCATGTATTGGGTATTTATTCCCTTTCCATGCTCCTTTCCCCAATGCCTAGCACAGTACCCTGCAAATACTAGGGACTAAGTGTCTGCTGAACTAAGTTAAACTGCTGGAAAATAGGTAGCCCCCAAGAACCCCTATGACATAAAGAACTTATTTCCCCCAAAGAGGAAACTCAAATTCTCTACAATGAAGCAGTATAACTTCTAGACATCTCTGGAAGATCTCAAGGATATCAGCAGGAGGCAGTGGGATGCAGTGGAAAGAGAGAGACGGGAATTCCAAGGCATGGGTTCTGTTTCTGCTACTAATTTACTATGTGACACTAGCCAAGTCCCTTCCCCTCCATGACCCTCCATTTCTACATCCATATAATGAGAGGGCTGGACTGGATAACCTTTATGGCTCCATCTAACCTAAAAATTCTACAAAGCGAAGATCAGCTTGAATTGAAATGTGCATGCTTATTTTCATGCCCCTTCACCTCTGCAGTTTCTGAGTTGACTCTGGGCATTTGGTGGCATTAAAGCTTAAAATTCACGAGTCAAGTCCTCTGTAAGGAAGACCAGATAACCACGGGAATAGATTAGGAGGCTTCTTAGTTTAGACCCAAATTCCACTGACATGGGCTGCTGCATGGTTTCCATATAGGAACAGAAAGCAGAGGTTGGCTAGGAAATGCTGACTACAGGTTTGCTTTTCAGCTTGGCAAAACACGGCCCACCCAGTCTTTTCAGTAAACAATCCTCCAATATTGCACTAGGGTGAGTCAGGCCTTAGAAAAGTACAAATGACTGTCTGTTAGATAACTGAGACAGAACCTCCTTAGCTTGATGGAATGCTTCCCATTGGCATTTCTTCTTAAAGGCAAAACCTTTACTGGAGAGAGAGAGAGAAAGAGAGGTAGAGGAGATGGGGAAGAGGGAGGAAAGAAAAGAGAGAGAGGAGGCAGGGAAGAGAGGGAGAAAGGGGACAGAGAGAAGGAGGAGAGACACAGAGAAGGAGGGAAGGGAGAGGGGGAAAGAGAGAAGGGAGATATGGAGAAAGAAGGGGGAGAGGAGAGAGAGAGGACAGAGAGGAACATAGGGAAGTGAGGAGAGGAGGGAGGGAGATGGAGAGGAGGAGAGCAAGGGAGAGAGACAGGGAGAGACAGAGTGATAAGGAGAGGGAGAGGAGAAGAGAGAAAGGGAGAGAGGGAGAGGAAAAAGAAGAGGGAGAGAGAGAGAGAAGAAGAAGAGAGAGGGAGAGGGAGGGAGAGAGGGAGAGGGGAAGAGGAGTAGAGGAGAAGGGGAGAGGGGAAGAGGGACAGAGAGAGAGAACGTGAGAAAAGGAGAGGGGGAGGGGGAAGGAGAGTGAGAAAGATTAGTCTAGAGGGTGGGAATCAGCAGGACCAGTGGTCTAAAGCTTTTACTCCTAGGGATTCTTTTCATAAACCATTTTAAACTCCTTCCTAGGGCTGTTGAGGGGAAGGCGATTTCTACACTTAAGCATTGTATAAATGTGAATGACTTAACATTCTTGATTTGTAGAAAGCTGCAGAACAAATGGGCAGTGAAGGCTAAACTGGATTATAGTTACATGATAACAGCAGCTGATCTTCAATTAAAAGCAAAAATCAGACGTGCTTTGGCTGCCTGTGCAAAAGGAAGGCAGCATCAGCTAACAACCTGGAAACTTTCTGGGCATGATCATCTGTGTTAGGAAGATGGGCTCAAACCATCTTACGGAGATTGTTGTCATCTTTACAACTTACGGACAACGAGTTAACCAGAGAATAATATTTCATTCCCTCTTTGGTCTTTGAATGTAGACTCTCAAGGTATAACTATGCATTGAGAAGAAACATGATAAAATGGATAGAAGGCCATCCTAGTGACAGGAAGACTTGGATTCAAATCCTGTCTCTGATAAATACTAGATGTATGACCATAGACAAGTCGTTTAACATCTTAGTGTTCCACTCAACTCTAAGACCATTAGTTAAATAGAAGCTGCCAATCTCTACCAGAAGACAGAATTTGTGTACAGATAGCACAATCTCAGCTCAGCCACAGATACCACTATTTATGGTAGTATTTATGTATTTTTAAAACATTTAACATGTATAAAACCAGGCTACTGCTTTAATAAGGTTCCTATCTTTTTTTTTTAATGCATCATTGATGAAGTTTTTAAGTGTTGTGCCTTCAACTTCATTTTACCCATAAACCCTGTGGTTTTGGTTGGGAGATCTTGCATGGATAGCATGGTGATTTTTAGGAATTCATACGTTACATTATGGCAGATCTGACTGTAATTATAAACTTTTCCCAGTTCTACCCATACATGCTTCTGACCATGTAGTAATCACAATGAACTCCCCAAAGACTGTAGCTAGAGCAAGCATTGTAGAATCTCAGAGCTAAAAAGATGTTTAGAGGTCATCTCTTCCTCTCCCTCTCCACCAATGCAGGAATCTCTTTCACTACAACAGGAAGTCACCCAACCTCTGTTTGAACATCTCCAGGAACATAGCAACTCCTTCCATTGTCAAAACAACTCAGATGATCGTTAGAGCCTCAAACTGACTCTGAGTAATTTCTGCCAGGTTGCTTCCTCTGGGGTCAAATAGAACAAATACAATCCCTTATCTCTAGGACCAGCTTCAAATATTTGACCTTGTCCCCCATAAATCTTCTCTTCTTCATTTTCTTTTTTTTTGGCTAGGCAATGGGGTTAAGTGACTTGCCCAGGGTCACACAGCTAGTAAGTGTTATGTGTCTGAGGCTGGATTTGAACTCAGGTCCTCCAGGGCCAGTGCTCTATCCACTGTGCCACCTAGCTGCCCCTATCTTCTCTTCTTCAAACTAAAAATCTCTAATTCTTTAATTTCCAACTTGTCAATTTCCCTTTCAAAATGTGGTACCCAGAACTAGACACTGTCCTTCAGGTGCGATATGACCAGGGTGGAAAACATTTGGACAACCAGTTCTCTTGATAGATATCTTAATAGATGGCACAAAGTTTAAAAATCTTTTTCTAGCTTCTTCCTAACTCTTATCCAACCCTCCCTAGTGTTTCAACTCACACCACTGCAGTGATGACATCTTGAATTGCCTTCTGTATCGTGGGTACCTTCTTATACGACTCTACCACGGCCAAGGCCTGATTATAGCTGGCACAGTAGACTTTATAGGTGCTCTCCATCTCCTCTTGGAATTCAAGGAACAGATTACCTAGTGGTCCAAAAATATGGATAATGATTTTTCACGAGGCAGATTTCTTTGTATAACTCATTATACACAATTAACCATAATCCTTTGGTCACACAAAAACCCAGTCTTGGAGTACTCCCAAGGATTATGGGTCAAGGGCCAAATTTCTTCCCACGGAGACTTCTAAGGGCTTATTTTACACACCAAATTCAGGGGTTTCAGTCACCTAATCATAATGCTAGCCCATAAGTAGTACCAGCCAGCCTCTATTCTACAAATATCCATTGTACCTACAAGGACAAGGCATTTGTTATTACGGATTGCTAGTGAGCCCTGCCCAAACTATATAGATCTTCCCCAGGATCACCCATACTCTAGAATGTGACATCCATTCCACCCCTGGCTTCTTCCTGATTCACACAGCCTAAGCAAGTTGATTCCAAGGTTTATAATTTCTCTACTTCATGGTCTCAGTCCAACAGGCAGCCTGATGTAGTAGAAGAGACATTGAAGATGAAATCAAAAAACCTAGCCGAGGTTGTAGTCCCAAACCAACATAAGGAAATCAGGATACTTAGCTGAATTCTTCCAAGTGAGTGTGGCAGGGTGGAAAGAGAACCAAATTTGGTGTCAGAAAACCTGGACTTAATTCTGGTTGAGTCACATACTAAGTATTCTAAATCATCTTAAACAAATAGCATTGTCTCTCTGAGCATCAGTTTTATTACCTGTAAAAATGGAGATAATAATACTTGTACCAAGTTCCTTACAGGGTTATTGTGACAATCAATTATTTTAATGGACTGAAAGCATCTTGTAAACCAAGAAACTTTATATAAATGTGAGCTACCACCTAGTTCAGGCACTCATCAAGGTCAGGAATGACCTTGAGGACTTTTACCAACTTGGTTTATCTTCCAGACTCCAGGACCAGCACTCTGTCCATTGTACCAGTTAGATGCCAAATGGATTGAAAATTTAGATAATAAGAGTTGAGAAGGTTGATAAACTAGAAAGCAAGGGTGTTTGAGGGGACATTGGCACCTAATGGAAGGTCTCAAGTGCAAAGATGATTCAGAAGTTTTTCTTTTAAACTTTCCTTTAAGTCTCCATGCAGCTTTGGCCCTGTGTTCCCAGACCTCCTTTCAGGAGTTGAGCATAACAGTTCTCAAATCCATCTCCTATTTGACAACAGTCTTCAAGTGTTTAGAGGGCTATCATATTCACACTAAGTCTTCTCATCTCCAGGCTAAATATGCCCAGTTCCTTGACCTGGCCCATGTACGACATGGTTTCACCTTCACCGCTGAAGAACATCACTAAAGGCAAGACAAACACTTACTTGTGGGAGACGTTTAACTGAAATTTGATTAAAAGAATTCACATTCATACTTCAGGTATAAAATAGACCAGACATCTTCTAAGATCTCTTCCCACTTTATGATTTTATGGTTTTGTGATTTAATGATCACCAATATTTATAGTGTTTACTACGTGCCAAGCGTTGTGCTGAGAACTTTACAATGATCTCATTTGATCCTCACAACAACCCTGGGAGGGGGATGCTATTATTATCCCCATTTACAGATGAGGAAACTGAGGCAAACAGAAGTTAAATGGCTTGCCCAGGTTCACACAACTACAAGTATCTGAGGCTGAATTTGAATCCAAGCCTTTCTGACTCCAGGCTCAGCACTCTATCCACTGCATCACTTAGCTGCTCCTTATGTCCAGGAATACACAGCTAGCCTAGAACCTGGATTCCTGATTCCTACTCTTTCATATCAATCAATAACAAGCATTAAACAAAACCCAACAAGCATTTTGAAAAACCCACAAGCATTTAACACCTAATATTTGCCTAACGTTGTTCTAGACAATAGGGATGATACAAAGAAGAAAAATTAAACAATCTCTGTCTTCAAGGAATTTACAGTCTGTTGAGGAGACAACATGTATACATACAAATATATAAAAAATAAATGCAAGGCAATTTTGAGGAGAGAGGGTAGGCACCTATAGCTGGGGATATTAGGAAAGATCTCATGTAAGAAATGGTGCCTTGAACTGAGATCTGTAGGAAACTAGGGATTCTGAGAGGCAGAAGTAAGGAGGGAATGAATTCTAGGCATAATAGGACAGCCTGGACAAATGAGATGGAATGGCCTATATAAGGAATACCAGGAAGGCAGGTTTGGCTGGACATAAGAGTGTATGAAAGGAAGTCATCCATAATGAGATTAGAAAAGTAGGCTGCACACAAGTTGTGAAGAACTTTAAATGACAGAGGAGATCTGGATTTGATCCTGGAAATAACAGGGAGCCACTAGAATTTCTCAAGCAGTGAACTGCTATGGTCAGAACTATGATTTCAGAAAGATTGCTTTGGCTTGGAGGATGAGTTAGAGAGGGGGGATGCTTAAGACAGCATGATGAATTAGGAGGCTCTTGTGCTAGTTTGTGGCAATCAGGTGATGCGGTGGATAAAATGCCAGGCCTGGAGACAAGAAAACTTATCTTCCTGGGGTCAAATCTGGCCTCAAATACTTATTAGCTGTGTGACCTTGGGCAAGTCACATAACCACTGTCTGCCTCAGTTTCTTCAACTGTAAAGTGAGGATAATCATAGCACCTACCTCCCAGGGTTGTTGAGAGGATCAAATGAGATAATATCTGTAAAACATTTAGCACAGTGCCTGGCACGTGGTAAGCATTCAATAAATGCTTACTCATTTCTCCTTCCCTTCCATCTCAGCTACACTTCGGGATGGTCATACCCTTGATGGTTGTTACCTACAACGGTGGCACCTCCACAATCCCTAATTCTAAAAATTCCCCTATCTGATCATACCTCCTGACCTTCCATCTCTACCTGTGTTTCATCCTCCCTCCACTGATACTCTGTTCTCACCACCTTCTCATCATTCTACCCTTCCTTAATTTCAGGCCATGACCCCCTGCTCCATCCTTATTTTCTTCCCTTCGAAATCTTGATTCATTTGTTTCCAATTCAACTCGATACCACCCTGTGCTCTTGAATCCCTTGCCCCATTGTTTCATCAGTGCTCATCCTTCTCAAGATTCCAACCATGGCCTTCTTCCATTACCATCCCACCCACTACCTGTCTTTGCTACTCGAATGACACTGGAGGGAGACACATAGTTGTGCTGACTGGATCCAGTCTACTAACGGCCTCTCTCACTCACTACTCACAGAGTCTGTTCCAAATTTTTTCTTCTAAGCCACCTACGGCTGTATCTCCTCCTTCCTCCTCAGCAGAAGGCTTTGCTTCATGCTTCACTGAAAAAATGGAGGCCATCTGTGACAAAGCTTCCTTTAGGCCTCAGTTCCACACTTCAAATCACTTCAACATCACCCATTCTCTCTCCCTTTGACACAGAGGATGAGATGGTCTTTTTTCTTATGATGTTAATCCTGTCCACCAATGCCCTTGATCTCATCTTTTTCCATCTCTTCTAGGAGTTTGTCCCTTCAATAATTCCCCCATTCCTTCCCAAATTCTCATACTCTCTTTACCCACTGGCTCCTTCCTTACAGTTTCCAGATATCCCAGTCTTTAAATTACCTTTACCTGATTCTGCTACCCCTCCAAGCTATTGTTGTACTCTTCTCTTTTGAACAGGCAAACTTCTAGAAAAAGGTGTCTATACTCACGGTTTCTACTCTCTCCTTTCCCACTCAATTTTCGGCCTCTTACAATTTGGCTTCTGTCACCACTGAAACAGTTTTTCCAAGGTCAGTTTAATTTCTTTGTTGCTAAATGCAATGACCTTTTCTTAGTGCTCATCCTCCTTGGCCTCTCACAGAGTTGAGGGGCCATCTAGACCAACCTATACCTGACCAAGAATGCTCTCTACAACATCCATCCTTCTCTCGAAGACATGATCAGCCAACCCATTCCCCTTTTTCAGATGGCTCTAGTACTGAGGATATTTTCTCTTACATGAAGCCTAAGTCTATGTATTTGAAACTTGCTGCTTTGCTCTACCCTCTGGGCCCAAGTAGAATAAATCTAACCCCTCTTTCATGTGACAGCCTCTCAAGATAGCTATCATGCTCCCAAATCCTTAAGGCTTCTCCAGGCTTAACACTCCAAGGTCTTTTGACTGGTCCTCATGTGGTATGACCCTGAGGCCTTTCAGCAGTTTGGGTTACCAAAGTCCTTCCTGAAATGTGGTAGCTTCAACTAATCATAAAATTCCTGATATGTTCTGACCAGGGTAGACTATAGTGGACCTACCATCTCCTTCTTTGACATCTGTTGTTATTTGAATCATTTCAGTCATGCCCGACTTTTCGTGACCCCATTTGGGACTTTCTTGGCAAAGATACTGGAGTGGTTTGCCATTTTCTTCTCTAGCCCATTTTAAAGATGAGGAAACTGAGGCAAACAGGGTTAAGTGACTTGTCCAGGGTCACACAGCTAATAAGTGTCTACAGCCAGATTTAAACTCATAAAGACGAGTCTTCTTCACTCCAAGCCTAGTGCTCTATCTACTTCTCCATCTAGCATCCTCATTATGGTTCTCTTAAGCAAGCCTGAACTGCACTGTCCATAGAGAAAACTAGTATTGTTGAAAAAGCATCCAGCAGGGAATTTCATGCCCAGCAGACTTGAGCTACACGCAATTTTACCCTTTTTGGCTGATACATCACACTGTTAGGCCTGACCTAGTTTGCAAGGTGACTATGTCTTAATTGCACAATTCCATTACAAAGAAAAGAATGATTAAACGGTTAATAACAATTAAGAGACCCAGAAAAAATAAGACTAATAGCTTATTTCTTTCTCAGGAAGCAATTTAGAGCTAAAAAGGTATATTTAGTTTTGTTATGACATTTGAAAAATCACAAATAAGTCTTGGAGAGAATCCAAAGTGATAAAAGATATATTTAAAAGTAAATTGATGAAAGGTTAACTGAACTAGACTTCTTCAGTATAATAAAGCATGCTTTCCAGTACAGTGAAATACCGTCACTATCAAACAGTATAGTTATT